TAAAAACATTTGATCTCAGCCGGGCTTGGTGGCTCTGCCTGTAATCCCGTGCCTTTGGGAGGCTGAGGTGAGTGGATTGCCTGAGCCCGTGGCTTCGAGATTCGCCTGGACAGCGAGACTTCATCTCTACAATAAAATCAAAAAATCAGCCGGGCGCCTGCCTGTAATTCCGGCTGCTCGGAAGGCTGAGGCGGAAGGATCGCCGGAGCCCCGCAGGCGAGGCTGTGGTGGCCAGGAGCGGCCACTGCACTTCAGTCTGGGCGACCGAGTGAGACTCCAACTCAAAAAAAAAAAAAAAAGCACACACAAAAACATTTGATCTCACTCAAGCATTCTACATAAATGATTGAACATCTCTGTTGTGCCAGTCACTGCACTGAGTACTGGGGTTGCAGTCATATCTCCCATTCTTATATTGCATTGGAGCCTAGTAGCAAAAACAGATACTGATCAAATAATCCCCACTCAAAGATGGGAAATTAGAGCCATTATATGAGCTGTGAATGAGAGAAACCTTGTGCTATGAGAACACTTAATAGAATTTGGTCAAGTGTGGTTTGTCCTTTGAGGAACTGACAGTTGACCTAAATATGAATAGAATAAAGGTAGAGAAGGAGGTAGTTGAGGAGAATGGTATTACTGTCAGAGGAAACAGTGATATGTTCAGAGGCAGGAGGGAGTATAGTATGTGTGAGGAATTTTTAAAAGGGATGAAAGGTGGAGAGATTGAGACTATCTGAAAGGAAGGTAGAGACTAAACCATACCAGTCCTGGCAATCTATATCAGTGGTCTGTCTTTATTTTTTATTTTTGAGTCTCGGTCTCACTCTGTCACCCAGGCTGGAGTTCAGTGGCATGCTCATGGCCACCATAGCCTCCAACTCTGGGTTCAGGTGATCTTTCTGCCTCAGCCTTCCAAGTAGCTGGAGCCACAGGTGCATGTCACCACACCTGGCTTATTTTTAAATTTATGTATTGCAGAGACAAGTTCTCGCCAAGTTGCCCAGGCTAGTCTTGAACCCCTGGGCTCAGGCAATCCTCTTGCCTCGGCCTCCCAAAGTGCTGGGATTACAGGTGTGAGCCACAGCGCCCAGCCTAGTGTTCTGTCTTTTATTTTAAGGTGATGTGAGGCCATTGTTTGAACTGTGTGTGTGTGTATGTATGTATGTATGTGTACATGAATGTGAGATATGGCATATTTAGAAAAGATCTCTGTGGCTAAACTGGGGAGAATGGGTGAATGAATTTGAAAGAGGATGCAATTAAGAGAAGACTGCATATGTTCAGGCGACAGATAAGGCTTTCTGTGGTGGGAATGGAGAGACGTGGACAGATGTGGGAGATAGAGGGTAAAGCTGATGGGTCTTGATGATGGTGGGATGAGGGAGACAAATTTTCATGAACGATTCCTGGGTTTCTGGTTGATGGAGAGTAAATGGTTCCCAACTGTTCCTCCAATTGACCCCAATTGTAGATATTCCTCAGTGTGCTGTTCTCAACTCCTTTCCCGTCTATACCTTCTCCCTTGGTGGTTCTTCAGTTTTCAGGCTTAAAATCACAATTCTACAAGATGTTACCCAAGCCTGCAATGCTATTTGCTCCAGAGATCACATACCATTGGCCCATTTGAGAGGCACGTATCTGTTGTTTAACTTTTGGTGTTTTTGAATTAAAGAAATATGATTACAAGAGATTTAAAAATCATAAGCTTTCACATAAAAAACGGAAACTCTTTTTCTTCATTGTCAGATGGGTGATGTGCCAACATCATAATAAGGCTTGAGGGTGGCACATTTTACCCTGGCACGTGACTGCCCAATCATCCCAAAATGATCTTATGAATTACAAAATTATCTATATTTCAAGCTCTTTTAAACAATTAGAAGCTCTGCCTACACTGGACCCATATTCCCTCATGTCAGAGCTGAATGACAGCTGACCCTGTTAGACAGAGCCAGCATTTTCCCCTTTGCCATAGCACCTGACATCTGGGCATCTGGCCACATTCATTGAGTTTTTGCTTGACTACTAAAGGCACTAGCCTTTAAGTCTTGGGCTTACAGTTGTCAAATATCTTTACCATTCTGTGGACTGTCTCCCTGCTCTCTTTATGGTTTCTTTTCCTTTATAGAAGCTTTTCAGTTTGATGAAGTCTCGCTTGTCTATCTTATCTTTTATGGCATCTTTTGATTAGGAATTAGTTGGTTGCCTATTCCAATTTTCGTAAGGGTGTCTCCTGTGTTTTCTAGGATTCTTGCAGTTTGAGGTTTTACATTTAGGTCTTTGATTCATTTAGAGTTGGTCTTTGTGTATGGTGATAAGTAGGGGTCCCGTTTCATTATTCTGCATGTGGTCAGCCCAGTTTTCCCAGCACCATTTACTAAATAAGTTCTCTCTTCCCCAGTGGTTGTCGGTGGAGGCTTTGTCAAAGATAAGTTAGATGAGAAATTGAAGTTCTGCTTCCTGAATCTCTATGCTGTTCCATTGGTCTATATGCCTGTTCTTGTACCAGTACCAGGCTATTCTGATTATTGTAGCCTTATAGCAAAGTTTAAAGTCTGGAAGTGTGACAAATCTGACAAAGGTCTAACATCCAGGATATACAAAGAACTCAAATGTGCTGAAAGGAAAAAAACAAACAGCCCTATTAAAAAGTGGGCAAAATATATGAATAGACGCTGCTCAAAAGAAGACATACAAGCAGCCGACATTAAAACCACACGGAGACCACCTAACTCTAGTCAGGATGCCCATCATCAATAACTCAAAAGACAACAGATGCTGGAGAGGAAGCAGGATTAAGAGAATTCTTCTACACTGTTGGTGGGAGTGTAAACTAGTACAACCTCTGTGGAATTCCTAAAAGATCTAAAAATCGAACTTCCATATGACCCAGCAATCCCCCTTCTGGGAATATATCCAGAAGAACTCAAATCATTTTATAAGAAAGATAGGTGCACACACATGTTTATTTCAACATTATTCACAATAGCAAAAACATGGAACCAACTGTGCTGCCCATTGAAGGTGGATGGATAAAAAAAATTTGGTACCTATACACAATGGAATATTATGCAGACGTAAAGAAAGAAAAATTACAGACTTTGTAGCAACTTGGATGAATTTAAAGTCTATCATACTAAGTTATGGATCACAGAAACAAAAGGTTGAGTGCTACATAAGCGGATCCTGAACATTTACCATAATACAATAAGAAAGGGATTGGCAGTAGCCAGAAATTACCAGGGGAAGGAGGGGGCACATAACATCAATAAGCATACCCGATCTCAAACCAGATGAAATGGGGTCCAAAGGGAGGCCAAAACCTTATCTGTATGATAACCTCTTATCTACCTAATCCTGAATTGTATCCCACATCATTTTTTTTTGAGTTGGAGTCTCACTCTGTCGCCCAGACTGGAGTGCAGTGGCCGCTCCCGGCCACCGCAGCCTCGACCTGCTGGGCCCAGCGATTCTTCCACCTCAGCCTTCCGAGTAGCCGGAATTACAGGCATGCGCTACCACGCCCAACTGATTTTTTTATTTATTGTAGAGATGAGGTCTTACTGCCCAGGCGGGTCTCGAACCCGTGGGCTCAGGCAATTCACTCACCTCAGCCTCCCAAAGGCGTGGGATTACAGGCTGAGCCACCAAGCCCGGCAGCAACTTTCTTAAGTAGCAAATCCTCACATGTACCCCACAACTCTAAAAAAAAAAAAAAAAAAGAAGCTGAGCAGGGCTTAGAAAAACAAAACAAAGCCATGAATGCCTCGCTTATGTCTAGCGTTTTTTACAGGCAAACTCTCAGGTATAGATTTTAATTTGATTCTGCTAACTGCTTTGTGAGGAAGCGGGCCAAGTATCGTTGACCCTACAGGCTCAGATAGTAACTTGGCCAGGATCACACAGGCCATAAGTTGCTGAATGAGAATGCAGGTTTAGGTCTTTGATTCCAAATCCAGAGCTCTGTTTACAACCCCACTGCTGCCTCCGTCAGCCTCCCCCTGCCCAGTTCAGACTGGGTGACTGGAAGTGGATCAAAGGATGGAAAAAGAGAAGGATGGGCCTGAAAGGAACTGAAAGTGTTTGCTGCTAAGGGGGGAGCAGAAGAAGGAAACAGATCTTGAAGCAAAGCATCCAAGGAGGTGGGTTGCCCTTTCCTTCCGCCGCCCCCAACTCCTCCTCAGGGCCTGAGCAGACCCTACTGCCTGGCCTTTCTAGAGGGTTGAATCCAAGAGTGCGTGGAGAGAGCAGCAAAAACAGGCCATGGCCTTTCTGGGAGGAGGCAGGAGAGGGAAGAAAGAACTAATATATAGAAAAAGAGGAAGGCAGGGGATGGAGAAGTACAGATAGGAAACGTGGAACAAAAGCAAATGCTCACCCAAAAAATTCAATTTACATCTGTCAACTTGCATGGAGTCCCCAGGCTGGTTCAATTTTTCTAACTCCCAATC